AGAGAAAACATGATAGTCATTATGAGGCTTTAGGTATACGACTTAGGTCAGATTGGCTCTAGGCCAAGTGAGAGCTTGTAAGTATATGGATGTCCTAGAGACAATCTTTTGATTATATTAGGACATATGTGGACCTTTTATATTGTCGCAAATAAATAAAAAGCACTCTTTATCCTGTTTCATATTTTGTCTCAATATTATAGTTAATATTTTATATGAGTAACTGGATGAACCCCTTGGAATAAAATAGGTATATCTTGAGTATCTGTGATGAGATCACGATCATGAGGATTCAAGGATACTGGATGTTTATTCCTAATTTTATGTTCCTAGTCTAGAGACACTGAGAATGGGGATCAGTGATCTCAGATAAGACTAGCACGACTTATCTATTTGTATTTGGATACAAGGTAAAGACCTCATCTGCTACAGATATAGAGATGTCTTAGCTAAAGTCGTGGGTGAACCTATAAGGGTATAGCTCGCACTGAACAGACCCACAAAGAGACTCTATGAGGAAATCTCACAGAGAGTAGCATTAGAGTAGTCTCTTTATATTTGGGTATGTCTTTCCTTAGACCAGAAGTTATTACCTAGACTGTGTTCTAGAAGCCACGCTTTGACTGTATACCTCGTCTGCCTAAAACATGGAGACACATAGGTACACTGTTGGGCTTGTCCTGAAAGAGCACAGGGCTAGGGTGATAAACTGAAGGAATTCGTCAAATCTCTGTGAGAGATTAGGTTATCTATAAACCGGAGAAATCGGGATGACATTTACAAGGACTCGGGAATCTATGCATAGTAAAAGAGATCATGAGATGATCTGCCGTTAGAGTCAGTAAATTGAAGATTCCCTATTTCGAATAAAGTTTATCCTAAACCGCAATGGTTGATACGTTTCCTTACCCTAGGTTTAATGGGAAGGTAACCGAGACGAAAGGAAATACATACGGCAACCAAATATGTGTCATTAACTTAACTAGCGCTGGGGCAACAAAGCATTGCTAGTGTTCTGTGTTGTCGTTAGATGGGTTGTGGGCTTGTTAGGCCCAAGCCCATTTATGTCAGTAGATATGTTGGGCCTAATGGGTCACACACTAACACCTTATTGTCATGATAATATAGCATTAAAGGTATTGGGCCTAATAATGGTTGTTAGCCCAAGAAGAAGTTTGGAAGTCCACCAAAAGGGAAAAGGGCACATGGATCATGTAATGGGCTTGGATGGTCCAAGACATTATTAATTAATTTAATTAGTTAAATTAATTATCAAATATTTAAATTTTGAATTTTGAATTTTAATTTTGAAATTCGAATTTTGAATTCGAATTTCGAATTTCGAATTCCGAATTCCGAATTCCGAATCCCGAATCCCGAATTTTGAATTTTGAATTTTGAATTAGAATTTTGAATTTTAAATTTGAATTTTGAATTTAAATGTTTGAACGTTTGAATTTAAATGTTTGAATTTGAATTTGAATTGGCTATGAAAAGTTGTTTCATAACAAAAGGATAAGGTAAGATCTTGTTGGAACAAATCCCAAGTATCAAGAAGAGATCTTTGAGCATCATCCAAGGCTGATTTTGGGCGCTGATTTTGGGGTCTTGTGATGGTCATAGGATCAACCAAATGAGCTCCAATCAGATTTGGTTTGTTGAGAGAATAAGTGAGTGAGTTGGTTCAAGTTTGAATGCAACTGCTCAACGTATCTGAACTGTTTTGAGGCTGAATGGAGCGCACCATATGGCTGGCCATATGATGGTTGTTAAGTCAGATTTTTGTTGAGATATGCACTTGATATCATGAGGATATGATAGGAGGTTGTTGGCAAAATTTGATTTGCAACAACTCCACTCATTCCTCTCCTAGTGTGCGCTACATAGGGCTGATTTTTGAGTGAAGAAATCAGATTTTTATTCACTCATTCTCTCATCTCCTTTGGTCATCCTTTTGTGAGGTTTTTCGTAAGAGAGTTTTGAAAATTACCTAGCACTTTCTAAGTGAATTCCATGCGCCACTTTTGTGTTTTTTCTTGCTGAAAATTCACTCAACTAAACACCTTGAAACCTTGCTTCCTACCTCTCCATTAGGGACGCCTAGCTTGCCTCCCTTAGTGTTCGTTGGTGGCCTTGAAGAAGAGTTCTTCTGTCTTGACAAAGGGTGGTGTGGATCAACATTAGAGGGCTTGTATCTTCAAGCCTCACCTTGATCATCTTCAAGTTTTGGAAAGCAAACAAGGTAACATCCATGTCCTAAAGCATGTTTCTTGATATGGTATGTGTAATTCCGCTTTGAAAATTTTGATTTCATCCTCACATGCCTACGGCCTTCAAGGCCATTTTTCTTTCAGGAACACTATACAAAGTAGATGTAAGATTGTAACTTAATTTTTCGAACAAATGGTGGTGTTGAGTAGGGGTGTAATCGAGTAGAATCAAGCCAAACCCTTGAAGGTCAGACTTGCCTTGTTAAAAAGAGGCTACTCAAGCTTGAATCATTATTTAATCGAGTCAAATTTAAAGGTCAAGCTTGGCTTGTTCAAAAGCTTGACCAAAATTACAAAGCTTGTGATCAGCTTTTTTAGCACGTTTATAGCTTGATTATCTTCTTTCCCTATATTGTATTTTTTTTAAGTCTATTAATTTCATATTTTAGAAGACATCTTTATGCTAGAAGATGAACAAAATATAGAATCGCAATTTATTTAGTGATAGAGATAATTAAATTATTATCTATATACCCTTTCTTGTCCAAAATTATAATTTCTTTTGTTTTAGATTTTACTGTCTATATAGAATGGAGGGAAAAGTGCATGAAGCCCCTTTCAACTTTAGACCTTCCGCAAATAAACATATTGAACTCTAAAGTTATCTTAATTAATCACTAAACTTTAACTAATGTCCCAATACATTCTTTCCTTAAGATAACATTAACTCCCTAATGGTGAGTTACTCCCAGCCGTCCATCTAAATTAAATATGGGCCCTTAATTTATTTAGCATTAAAATCCTAATTTTTATAATTTTTAAATATGCTAAATGAAAAAAAATTATTAATAAAAACACTAAAATAATGGAATATTATGCTTCTCATCTGCTGCATTCAATGAGTGTTTGCTGCATTTTGCTTCTCTGCTGCGAGATGTGTGTCACTTCCTAGGAACGAAAAAGTGTACTATAGATGCTCATTTTCCCATGGCCTCTTCCTTTCGTGTACCAGCGACAGGTCACAAAATGATTCTGCAACTTTGGGGTAACTCCATGGAAGGCTATGAAGCATGCTCATCTCCTTCACTTATAACTTTTATATAGTTATTTCACTCCCTTCTTTTAATCTTCAAATTTGAGTTGGAGACCACACTTCCTTTCCAAGCAATGTGTTAAAGAATAGTATAAACCATTAAAAAGCCCTCATCCACTAGCTTTGGTTCTTTACATGGTATCAGAGCCTCGTGTCCCAAGTTCGATCCTCACTGCCCCACTTTCTCTTGTGAAATTTTCTTAGCATAGGTAGGTGGGCCTGTGCATTGATCACCCTTCCAGCCCAGTGGACTCTCGTGTGAGGGTGTGTGTTAGAGAATAGTATAAACCATTAAAAAGCTCTCACCAACTAGCTTAAGCTTTTTGGTTGAATTGGTTCTTTACACATTGGATGCATGTGGTGTCAATGTCAACTCCTAATCAAAAGACCCTCTTGTAATGCCAAAGAAGAGAAACAAAGTGCATCACTCTTTTGCACATGGTCCAATTCAACTGCTTTTTTTTTTTTTGCTTTTTTATTATCATTTAGCGTGTTTAAAAGTCAGAGAGAAAAAAAGATTATTAAAATAAATAAATAAAGGATCCAGATTTACTACAAAATGGATAGTTAAGATTAACTCATTTTTAGTGAGATAATGACATCTTAATAGAAAAATCTATTGGGATATTAGTTAAAACTTGGGGATTAATTGGGAAAATTTTAGAGTTTAGGGTTCCTATTTGTAAAAAGGCCAAAAATTAAATGGGTAATGAATAATATATGAGAGGAGCTAATCTTGACCATTCAATCTTTTCATGAATGGTCAAAATTAGCTCCTCTCACCTCTCATGCTCATTACTCGATCAAGTCTTCAAAATTTCATGAAATTTAAAACTAGTGATACTTTGCTGAACAACTTCATTTTAACGTAGAATATATTTTTTTAAATGAAAGTAAATATCACATACCTAATCATGTCCAATTTAACGAAAATTTGGAGCACATGATTATCAAGATAACATCAGATGATTCAACGGATAGATTTGTTAATTTAGTATTTTACAAAAAGTTATTCAATGATGTGAGTGTCCAAGACTTACTCCTCCTGTGATAAGTGGATACCCTCCCTATATATATGTTTGTGTGTGTGTGTAAACGACACAATCACAAGCTACTAGTGAAAATTTAATGTCAAGCCAATAAAACTTGCGTTTGGCTCATTTATATAATCGAGTCTAAATTCAAGCTTTAGCTTGTTTGTTTAGGTGAACAAAATAGTTTGATCAACATTTACCGAGTTGAGCTCAAATAATTCGGGGGGAACTCAACTGATTTACATCCCTACAAGTTTAAGAACAGTACAATGACAGGAGTAACAAGTGCTAATCAGTGTTGGGTGATTTAATGATGTACAAAAACCATAAAAAATACTTCTCGTTAAACCAGACTAGCGAGGGAGGGTGATTGCATGGTGTACATAAGATTAATTATCCTGCCCTAGAAATTAGTAACCTTTCCACGCTCTCTACAACTCAGACTTCGAACAATTAACAAAAAATGGTGATGCATGATTAATGTCAATTAAATAACACAAAACAAAACATTAAGCACACAACACTTGACACACTGTATACTTAACACATCAACAAATATTTCATCCAACACACTATCTTCTACTCAACTATACCAGCTAAAAGCATAAGCATGCATGCATCTGCGCAGGTTAAACAGACAGTAAAAGTAGAAATCAGACCTACCTCATTTGCCACCGGAGAACTCTTATCATCCTTGTCATATATAAATGCGAGCAGAACATGCTTGAATTCCTCATATGCTTCCTTAAATACAAAGACAACCATCAGAACCAAGCATTGAACAACAAAACAGAAGAAAACAGAGTGTATTCTAGTTCCAGATTCGGATACCGGGTAAGCATCGAGTGCACAAGGAGCAAGAGCTGTCCTCAAACAATCAATAGCAGAGTCGCGATCCTCCGTCGTCCCCTTCCGAAGAAGCTCAATAAATTTCTACAAAACAATCAAAATTCGGAACGACGACAACAATAAATTTCTACAATAATAAAAATAGCAAAAAATAACAAATCGTTTGAGAGAGCGAGAGAGAGAGAGAGAGAGAGAGAGAGAGAGAGAGAAGTAACGGACCTGCTTGTGCAAGCGGAAGAGAATCCTGTGATCGTGGAGGATGGAAGGGGCATGGAGGCGGAGGAGATCGACGGCGGCGTCAATGGCGCCGGTCTCCAAGGAGTGCCTGATCTGGCGGATGACGAGCCTGGAGTGGTAAGAGGAGGAGGAAGGGGATGAAGATGGAGAGGGCGCAGAGGAGTCTTCGATTAGGTTCTCAGATTTGGCGAAATCGATGACCAAAGCATCTAGAGCTTCCCAATTCACCGGCGTCGACTCCATTCTTTCTCTCTTTCTCTTTTTCTATCGGAATTTTCTCGAGAAAATATCCTGAGATTGACAGAAAAAGAAAAAAAAATTCTGAAATCTAAAGTGTATAGTGTCGTTTTGTTTGAAGGGATTGATTTCTCTTTAGTTAGGTCCCCAGAACAAGAAAGGCGGCGATAAGAGGTAAATATGAATCGCGGTTCTGGATTTTATAGCCGCCTGACACATGTCTCTCACTGCATTCCAACTAACGTTATATCATACCTAAACGACTTGTCGTTTACGGAAGAATTAGCCATTCCACTTGCAATGGTAATATTTTTCTTTCTTTCTTCCGCTGATCACCACCACACAAACGGCCGAGTCGGTTCTCTCAAAAATTTTGAAGTGATGCAACTTTTTTCACTTTACCTCACATGTTTTAATGTGGAAAGCATTTCTGTAGAGAAAATTATCTGCCACAAACACAGAAATGGCTTCCCCTATTTTAATATCTTTTATATCGTAAATAATCTTTCAGGGCAAGAAAGAAATAAAATTATTGGAAAAATTATAAATATGAAATGATATGTAACACGTGGGGATTATAAATTCAAAGAAACAGCCCTCGCACGGAAGTGTAATTCTCGTGTTTCCATGACCAAAAAAAGATTAATTGTAATTTAACGAGCACGTTTGGTGGAAATGAGAGTGGAAATATGATAAGATAAATTATGATATCTTATTCTTTGTTTCGTGAGTTAATTGCATATAATAAGTTTGTTCTGTTTGCTCATTTTATTGTATTCATAACTTGATAAATTTGAATTAATTCAACATAATAGGATAGGGAAATTTTTTTTCTTCTAAAATTAGTCTTATGGCTCTTTAAACTTTCCTAAGAAAATAAGAGTCTGTCCTACTACCGTTGTCACAACTATCACCATTGGCTAGCCACCTTCACTATTACCAGTGGCCATCAATCACTACCTCCAACCATCGCCATCCGCCAGCCATCGCCATGCCCTTTGTGCTTGAAAAAAAAAATTATTATTTTTACCATATATCAAATCTCTAACTTTACCAAAATATTGTTGCATATATAAAAATTGATAATTAATGTAAAACTTATTTTTAAATATTTATTCGGCAAAGAATTTTGAATTTTTTTGTAAATTATTTTATATATTTGATTTATTTTATTATAACACTTATTCTCAAAAAAATAAAAATGGAAACTAGTCTATAAATAGAGACAGGTTATTCTTACACTGCGAAAAAATAATAAGTATTACACAATATATATATATATATAAATATGATCATGATCATTTTACACCGGTGTAAGACTAACAAGTCTTACATCACATTTCAACCGTTGATTTTCGTGCATCCAACTGTAATAATTTAGAAAGTCATACGACTAATTAATATTAATTAATCTTTAATTACACTACAAATATCAACCGATGATTTTCGTCCATCAACGGTTGAGATGTGGTGTAAGACATTTTAGTCGTACACTGGTGTAAAAAGAACTTGCCCTATATATATATATATATATATATATATATATAGGGGTAGGATCCTTTGACACCGATGTCAAATTTAAAGTTTGACACCTCATCTCAGAGCCGTTAGATAAAAAAAAAGATCAATGGTGTCACATGTTTACAAATCAGAGTCGTTGATCTTTTTTTAACTAATGGCTTTCATATGAGCTTTCAAAATTTAAATTTGACACTGGTGTCAAATGATCATGTCATATATATATATATATACATATATATATATATATAGTAAAATCATTTCTGCAGCCGCTTTACGTATAGCAATGACAGGTGTATGGTTATGATTCCCCACATTTAATGATTTCATCCTTTGTATGGTTATGATTCCCCGCATTTAATGCTTTCAAGTATATATATGGCAAGTATTTGATTGCTGTACGTACAGCAATTGTAGAAATGTAAACCCCTATATATATATATATATATATATATATATATATATATATATATATATATATATGGTTAAAAGAACATAAAATGCAGACAAATTGAAGAAATATTTTAGCTGAAGAGCAGAAAGATGTTTGAATTTTACTTTGTTATTCCAAGTTCGATTATGAATAAAGTGAATAAAACGGATGTTCATTTCTTCAGAAAATCTGATAATTATTTTAAAGCCGAGGTAGTGGAACCCGTCTTGCCCAAGGGTAAGATCGTGAGTTCTAGCCAGGCACGAAAATCGAGGTAGTAGAACCCGTCTTGCCTAGCCAGGCACGAAAACCAAGGTAGTGGAACCCGTCTTGCCCAAGGCACAAAAACTGAGGTAATGGAACCTATCTTGCCCGAGGGCAAGATCGTGAGTTCTAGCTGAGGTATTGAAACCTGTTTGCTAAATTAGTAAGTGGGTTCTAACCCACATAAATAACTTGAGAAATAAGGGGACGCCCTTAAAATTTCAAGTCCTTGCGAATAAAACAAATGTATTGCTTAAAGCAAACATACCGAAATACACTAAATAACCCTGATCAGGTTAGTAAGCTATTTAAAAAAAAAAATCCATCAATGACAAGTTAAAAGTGTATTCAAATACATATGGCATGCAGCATTTACGGTGTTCATCACAAATTAAAAAAGGAGTCATTACAAAACAAACCGGCATCCCGACCCTTCATTCAACCTATTGATCATCACTCTGAAACATCTCCCGCACTTTGGCTTCAAACACTTGCCTAGCGGCTTCAGCTTCCGGGTTGATGGTCACGTTCTCAGGTATATCCAGGCTTGGCTCAACTCGAGGAGGGACGTAAACCCCACCCTGGATGTAATCAAAGCAGTCCAGTAGATCGGTCTTCAGCGTTACTTTAGGATTGAAATACTTCATCGGGTTTATAGCATTGTTGAATGCAGAACACACAGCTTTCTCTAACGCGGCTTGACTAAACTCATAATTAGACTACAAATCCTGAAGGTCAGATTTCAGCTTATCATTCTCTAAAGCCAAAGCTATCGTTCTTGATTCATTCTCGGCTAGCAAGGCTAGTTTCTCTTTAAAATAGTTAATGAGGGCCTCTTTGTCAACATCAAGGCCAAAAGAATCTTACACAAGTTTCAAATCAGCTTTAGATTGTTCTAAAGATGACTTCAATTCAGAAGCAGCAACTGACAAACTTTGACTCTCCTGGACTGCCTTGTCGCGATCAACCCGGAGCGCATCCCTATCAACCCGGAGTGCGTCCCTATCAGCATAAATCTTTGAATGCTTCTCCAACAGCAGAGAGTAAGGTTTCAATAATGAGGCCACCTTGAAAGCATATAGCTCGTCTTTCTGCAACTCCTCCATCTCGGCTCTCGAAATAACTCCAGTCCCATAAAATGAGGGCGGGGGGCGGGTAACACCACGGAGTTCGATGGCAACCAGGGTTTCCCATAAGGCTCCTCTCCTAAGTCCAGCGGGAAGAACAGAAGGAGATGGTGTACCTCGGTCAACAGATACCACGGCTCGAGTGGTACCTTCAGTGCCTTCAGCAGGAGAAGCTTGATTACAACCCGAATCCAACCAATTTCAGCATCATTGGTAAGATACAACACTGATATGTTGGGATTAACAGTCGGAATAGAAGAAGTGGCACCTACAGAAGGACTAATAATCCTTTGCCTTTTAGCAGCATGCGGAGGCCGAGCTGCAGCCTTCCCTCGAAGAGATAACACATAGTCAGGTATTTTTTCCGCGGCAGAATCCATCTGACAATCTGCAAGTCAAACGGGCACAATTAGAACAGGGAAGAGAAACAAGTAATAAAAGACATGTTAAAAAATGAAAAAAGGCATACTAGTTTGATCCACGTTAGCCTGGGATCTAGCAACCAAAGAAGCCGCACTCAAATGGCCTTGAGAGCCGACATGGGCTAGTAAGGTCTTAACATTAGCCTTATCTTCCCCTGACAATCTCAACTTAAAATCATCCAACCTACGCAGGTGATGCTCTTGAAACCAGTAAAGAGGAAACTTTCCCTCTCCATCCTCTCCAATAAACCATGGCTTTTCTCCGACTTCGGCAACCACTTTGAAATATGCACCTTTAAAGTCTTTGAAAGAGTCACTATAAATGGAGAACAGTTTCCTAGAGGGCTTGCTGGCACGACCGCGGATGCTAGTCCACCCTTTGAGTTGAGGAGGCTCAGAACCAGTGCGAGGAGTATATATGTTAAAAAAATAAAGAAAAAGAGGAACAGTGCAAGTCACAGACAAGGATGCACATAATTGTTCAAAGGCAACAATATAGGCCCAACCGTTAGGGTGAATTCGAGTAGGAGCAAGAAGGAGATGGTTCAAAAGTTGTATTTTAAAAGGAGAATGAGGAAAGCGGATACCAATCTTGGTAATAAAAATCGCGATAAAAGAAGAAAAAGTGTGGCTCCTCGGGATTTCGACCTGAGCAAACGGGCTCGTCTTCTACTGGACAAAAAGTATTGAATCCAACCGGATTACCTATGGGAAGCCCATATATCTCTTCAGTAGTCATAGCGGATCTGAAGCTTAGAACTTCCTCTGTGACCCATGGAAATTGTTTGCGAAGATTACTACTGACAGGTGCAAAACCTTTCTCGGTCGGGTTCACCTCGGCTTCCTGTCCTTGGCTAGATGAGGTAACTTCCCCATTTAACTCTGCAGAAGGGGACTCCATAAATACCTAGAACAACAAAATGGAAGGATTAAAAACAGGAAAAGTATGTAGCAAGGAAAGTATGTACCTGAACTAAACAAACTACTATGGGAAGAGCTTGAAGAGTCGCCTGAGGTAACCCAAGGGGCGGGGGTAGATGAGCCGAGATGATGAGAAAAACTGCCTAATACTAGATCGGCCATAAAATCGTTTCCCTTTTCAACAAATTGGGCACTAAGGTAAACACACTTAAAGCAGGGTTCTAGATTCCTACCACCCGGGTTAACTGGCACAGTTTGATGAGGGGTGCGAAGCGGAACAAGTTTATGAGTTGAAATCGGGATTGAACGTAAAGGGATAGAGGTTTGACCTAGGTTGAGAGCAACACGTGTTGGCAAAACCCCTACATTACGACGGAGACCTCGACCACGTCCTCTGGTTAAGGGGCGAGATGAAGATGCTCCTCTGATCCCACCACCTCGATAGCCTCCTAACAAGGCGGCCTGAGTTTCCTCCTCGGTCCGAGGTCTTCCAAACAACCAATATCTCGGACCAGGAGGTAGATTCTGGATGAACCTTTCTTCTTCCTCTGCGATAATCTCATCATTACGGCCAAAGACGCGGGGAAAGGTGGGTCTCCCTCGACCAATGGGATTCCTCTCACTCACACTAGGAGGAATTTTTAAAATAAGGAACAATGAAAATAACAGCAGTGACAAGTCTTATTGAAATAATGTAGTACGCATAAATATAACAATAGGGCGCAATCAGAAAAACAGAAACAATGCATGATTGTTTAAAACACAAATGTGGTAATTCCAGAGGAACTGCGAGTTCCTAACATATTTGCTAGTTTACACTTCATGGAAGAAGATGAAAGAAGTAGTAATGGAAGCTAGAGATAAAACATACCTGAAACAAGGTTCTTGAAGAAATGTGGAAGTAACGGATGAAAAAAAATCCAGAAGATGCTAAACCCAGAAGATGCAAGATCAGGAGAAAGGATAAGTGAATAGAAGCCAAATTATGAGAGTATGAAACGGGAAACGAAGTTGAATGGGTATATTCCGCGAAATGAAAGGGCAAGGATAAAAAAGTAAAATCATTTGCAGACAGGACAGTTGAGGGATGTTTGTCTGTTACCAATTAATGAGATGCGGCGTGGAAGGAAGTAGTGGCACACGTCGTGTCTATTGAAAGAAGCCACGTGGAACGTGGTTATCATTATGTAAGAAGGAAATCATTGCATGCGAAGGAAAGGGAAACCAACATGGTAACTTAACCAAGATATTTCGGTTAAAGATGGAAAACTGGATAGAAGAGTATTGTGATGCAAATTGGACCAGTGGCTCTAAAGACACTAAATCCACAAGTGGATTTGTATTCACCCTTGGTGGGATGTTGTGTCTTAGAAATCATCCAAGCAGACTTGCATTGCAAGATCAACTATGGAAGCAGAATTTATTGCTTTAGATAAGGCCGGTGAGGAAGCCGAATGACTTCGTAATTTTATTGAGGATGTTCCCAATTGGCCAAAGTCGGTACTAGTCGTATGCATACACTGTAATAGCCAAGCTGCTTTTGGAAGGGTCAGGAATGTCATGTATAACGGTAAGTCTAGACATACGTCGTAGACACGATTTCGTGAGACAACTACTCTCGAGTGGAATCATTATAATTGACTATGTAAAATCTAAAGAGAATATAGCGCATCCGTTGACTAAAGGAATTTCTAGAGAGTTAGATGAGAATTTGTCAAAAGGAATGGGTTTAAGGCCTATCAGTTGTTGATTATTGCGATAACTCTACATTGATGAGTGGAGATCCCATACACTAGGTTCAAAGAGACAACTAAATGATGATCGACTGTTAACACTGTGGAGTTTCTAAACTCATACTCATTCCTATGACAAGACATTATATATACAAGGGTAAGCATTTAGGCTCTTAATGGTTTCTTAATTTGATGTGTTCAGATGATGTATGATGAGTTACATCATAAGGAATAACCTATGTGAGAGAGAAGTGAGGGTCGCTTCTATGAGAATTTAGAAAGGCCGATTCTCTAGAACACTTACAGAACCAGGCAGGTATCAAGGGCCAAAATGGGCATAACAATAAGGACCAACAATGTTAGGGGAAGCAATTGCGTGACTCCTATTGTCTTCGTGTACACAAAAAGGTCAATGGTTCAAGTCATCCTGACCACCGAGTGACCGAGTACACCCGATAGGTTTTACTAGAGTAGGTTCAAAGGTGATCCCTACCTATCTCGATGCAATTGTTTCTCACTGAGGAATCGCACTTTGCATTCATGTTCATTTGCATATGGTCACGATTAATAGACTTCTTATCCATGTGGGGGATTGTTAGAATTTGTGTCTAAAATTCCATGGGTTATGGATAAGAAATGAGTTGAGGAAAGAAAGAAATAGGGAAGGGGAAGGGGGTGTTTGTGGGTAGAAGTCCCACATTGGACAAGTAGTGAAAAGTGAAAAGGTTTATAAACCTCCACGTCGCCTCTTAGTTTGCTTATTAGGGGCACTCCACTTTTGTGGAGGAGAGAAGACATGTGTAGGCCTTGGAGCACCAAACACGCGCGCGCCATTTTCGCCGTCTGGCAAGCTCGGTCGCGAGTGTGTGTGAGAGAAATAAAAATAATTATTTATTAAATTATTTTTTATTTATTGTCCAAAATGCCCTTGTCATATTCGTTGCTTCTCGCCGAACCAGTTCTTTCTTTTCGTTTTTGATTTTGAAGCGAACTGGTGCGTTCAATTAATTTTGAACCGAACTGACCACACGTCATATTGGTTTGCCGCCGTCAGTCACATCAGTTTGTCAGCGACGTTTCATCGAGTCCTTTCGGTTTCTATATATAGATGTTGACACCAACAGAAAATCGTCCAGATTTTTTGCATCGTTACTCTGTCGAATTTTTTCATCGTGAATGCATGCATTCTGCATCCATACCATACTGTTACATAATGTGATTCCTCAAGCATCAAGTTGTATTCGTTAGGGCTCCCGATTGATAGTGCCATCATTCCAGAGACGCTTAATTTGTTCTATCTTGGGAGGCAATTGTTCATCAACCTTCGACATTAATAGAAGGAACGAATTATCTTAAGGAGGCATCTTCTGTTAGGCTCAGATTCTTCATCTTTCTCTGCATACTGACATCTGCTTCTGATATCAAGTTAGTTCATTCTTTAATTTATTGCAATTGCTTGTAGGATTAACTAATATATCTGATATCATACACGGATTCAAATCTTTCGGTGACTTTCACCCACTGTTTTCTAAAACAATCTTAAGACAATTTGTGTTTTGAATCTGTGTTCAGTATATTTTATTTTTCTATATTATATACTGTTTATTGCTCAATGTGTGATTACAACATTAATCTGTGTGATTATTCGGAGTTTATGTTTGTGCAACAGATATGGCTACGACAAGTACAAGTTTGGTTAACTCAACTGCTTAGGTTTCAACTCCTGCTGAGAAGCCTGAAAAATTCCATAGGATTGATTTCAAGCATTAGCAATAGAAGATGCTATTTTATTTGACAACCCTGAGTCTGGAAAGGTTTCTCAAGGAAGATGCTCCTAAATTAGAAGAAGGACAACAAACTAATAAGGAGAAGGTTGTTGTAGTTGATGCGTGGAAGCACTGTTATTTCCTCTACCGAAACTATTTCCACAATGGTCTATACAATTCATTGTATAATGTGTATAGCACTTTGCAAACCAGTAAGGAACTGTGGGAAAGTCTAGACAAGAAGTACCGTACAAGGATGTCGGCTTGAAAAAGTTTGTTAGGGCTCCCGATTGATAGTGTCATCATTCCGGAGACGCTTAATTCGTTCTATCCTGAGAGATAATTGTTCATCAACCTTCGGCATCAATAGAGGGAACAAATTTTCTTAAAGAGACAACTTTTGTTGGGCTCAGATTCTTCATCTTTCTCTGTATACTGACATTTGCTTCTGATATCAAGTTAGTTCATTCTTTAATTTATTGCACTCCACTTGAAGGATTAACTAATATATCTGCTATCATACACGAATTCAAATCTTTCGATGACTTTTCACCCATTGCTTCTAAAACAGCAAGTACTGTAGTTTGTTTCATTGTTGTGAAAAGCTAACTCTGCTAATACCAATCACTGTCCTGTCCCATCCCAAGGCAACTCAATTAGTTGCACGCTTCTAAATCCTAGTGCAAAATTGACAAGGCACGGTAATGCTTTGATGTATGATAAAAACATTGATTTGATTATGTTGTCTTCACCGCTAGATTAACTTCCAGTACCAACCAAACTATGTCCTGATGGCTTGAGCAATCCTTGGCCTTCCATCATCTTCCTTATTCTTGAAGCATCATTCCATCTTCCAGCTTTTGAGTATATATTTGACAATGTCACATAATGACCAGCTTCTTGAGGTTCCAAACTGATCAACTTTTCTGCAGCCAGCTTACCAACACTAACATTCTGGTGCTCCTGGCATGCAGCAAGTAAAGCTCCCCAAATATATTTATCTGGTTCCAGGGGCATTTGGTTAATGAAATGGAAAGCATCTTCGAGTCTACCAGCACGAGCTAGCATGTCAACAACACAAGAAAAGTGTTCCTTCACTGGGGTTAAGCCAAAATCTTTTGTCATTCTGTAGAAGAGTTCAATCCCGTCATCTACAAGTCCTGAATGACTGCAAGCTGAAAGTGCTGAAGAAAACGTCACCAAATCGGGTCTAATGCCTAAATCACTCATTTCTCGCAAAAGCTTCAGAGCAGTTTGGCCAAGTCCATGGATTCCAAATCCTCCAATAATCGTGTTCCATGAAACCAAGTCCCTCGCAACCATGGTGGAAAATGAAGAATATGCATATGCAATACATCCACGGATCGAGTACATATGAATTAGTGCATTATAAACTGGAATCATACAATTGAAATTGGTTTTCCTGACATATGCGTGTATCTGTTTTCCACATCTCAAATCACAAACAGGCAATATAGTAGATATGGTTGTGTGATCAATCTTTACTCCTCTGCCTTGCATTTGTCTGAAACATTCAAGAGCTAAATGTCCCAAACCCATATCAATTAAACCAAAAATCATGGCATTCCACGTAACGACATCAGATTTATCCATTGTATGAAACACATTTTCAGCAGCATTATGTCTCCGGCAACTAGCATACAATGTCAACAAAGCAGCACCAGCAGACTTGTAAAATGCATCTCCAGATATGATTTTGAGACCATAACCATGGATTTCCTTCCCACTTGCTAAAGCCCCCAAAGACCGACAGGACGCAAGGATACCAGAAAGAGCATCAACATCAGGGAAAACCATCCCAGCATTTACCATTTTCCTGAAAATTCCCAAACAAACATCATGCCTCCCAACATTTGAGTAACCTGAGATTAAGGTTGTCCATGAAATAACATTAGGATCCTTAATTTGTTCAAAAACCCTTGAGGCCTCACAACAGAGTCTCATCCTACAATAAGCATCCATCACAGTATTCCAAGTGACAACATCAGGTTCACATCCATCCAATCTCATAAACCCCAACACCTCCACAGCCCTCTCCAGCAACCCATTACACACATACCCAGACATCATCGAATTCCACGAAAAAACATCCCTTTCAGCCATTTCATCAAACACCCGTGCTGCACTCCCAACATCCCCACACTTGAAGTACATGTCCAACATGGAATTGCAAACATGCAAGTTAAACTTCAAACCCAACACAATAACATCTTTGTGCACAACAGCACCAGTTTTCAAGCACGCTGATTGAGCACAAGCCTTCAGCACCTTGGGAAACACATACCCATCTGGCAAAACACCCTTAAACCTCAATTCGGCATAGGTTTCAATGCATTGGTGAGTGAGGCCGTGCCTGGAGTAAAAACCAAGGATTGAAGTGAAGGCGAAGACGTTGGGTTGCGACACTTGGTGGAGCAACAACTGGGCAGAGTGCAGATCGTCGCAATCAGCGTAGATTTGGATTAACTTTGTTGCGAAGAAAGGGTTGCGGTGTGAGCCGTTCACAACTAATTGCTGGTGAACTTGCTTTCCTTGATTGAGAGCTTTTGAAGCAGAGCAAGCTTGCAGCACAGAGTTGAGCTCCGAAGGGAATAGTGACAGAGTTTTTGGGGTTGCAGTGTGTGAGCGTAGCCATGATCCCATCTAATATGGAGCATTCTGTGAATGCGGGAACTGGAATTTTAAGAAATCTCAACTATAATATATTTCATATATTATTAATATTTTATTTATTTTCTTATGCATTTATCATCAATGTTGGGGAATTTAAATATTTTTAAATATATTTAATTTTTTTTTCTTTATCAAATCCAAGCTATGGGTTGGTAAAAGAGAATTTTTTTACCAAATATCAGTGGTAGAATCCGACAAGTACTCGAACCGGGTATAATCCGATTGATGTACCCATTGGCAAACTAAAAAAATAAAAAATAAATAAAAAAGAGAATTCCTTTAGTAAAATCTACATTAAGGGTAAAAATAACATTGTTTTACAGGATACCCAAAAAAAAAAAAAAAAAAAACATTGTTTTACAATGCCGCAAGGTGGATAAATGCCCCCCTTGAAATAATGTTAAAATAATGATTAAATACACATTCCTATTTGTCTATTAGGTAACAACTAGTGACATGCAAATAATTTGTGCATTAGGAACTTATCAAAAAAAAAAAACAATCTTAAAAAATTTGGAGTTCCACATCCACTTTCAGTGATCTTTTTCCTTTTGGTGATTTCAGCACGAACTTTTTGACCAGGAATTATTTAAATCATTTACATTTCAATAATAAGGTTCTTCAGGTGGGTATCTGCAAATAGTACTGTTGGATCTGTCAGCATTGAGTCATAATCTCAGCCCCATCAGGGGTTATTAGGAGGGTGTGTTCAAACTGCGCTGAAAGACTTCCATCTTCGGTTACAATTGTCCAATTGTCATTCCACATAACAGGATTGATGCTGCCCATAGTCAGCATCGGTTCTGTAAAAATAAACAAGGTAGAGAAAATTAAAGTTATTATTATATATTATTAGCATTGCAGTTTTTTATGCTAAAACGAGTCGAAAGGATAGTTGTTACATGCACACAGCGTCATGAATGTCTCGAACTTTATATGTATTCCTGTATTACTAGTTAGGTGGTGAATTCCACGATTTGTTTATATTTAATACATATTTTAAATTATCATTTAATAAACTTTAAAAAATTAATAATAATAATAATAAATTTGAACTTATAGTTTCTCAATTTCCACCTTTTCAAGTTATAGCCCAAATTCAGCAACACCTAAAACTAATACCGATGGAAATATAAAACTTACAAGCCCCTCCCCACCTCTTGCTTAACTGTGTTTCATTTGTAAGTTAAATATACTAAGCCCAGTTAGAATAAAGGGCAAAGACAGGTACAGTTTCCAGCTCCACATCTACAAATCTTAAGCACGAAAGTTCAAGAACAATAAACTAAATTACCAATTGTGAAGGTTTGATTTAGCATCATCCGTCCACCTTCATTGTTTCCTGAAGATAATAATAGATGTTACTAAGACACTAGTGATTAAACATAAGCAGAATAAAATATTTAGGACAGGCAACAGATAAAGCATATTGGGGGGTTGAGAAAAATAATTGTTTAGTCGTTTACCCTCGTGTCTTCTCATCACCATTTATGGACGTTTTTTGCCATGTTTTCATCCTAGCTAACAATGCATTAAATGTTCTATCAAACCTTTCCTGGGTGCGCTGGCTTTTCCTATCCACGGTGACGCACATAATAAGATAAAATCTAGAACTAATTAAATTTTAATATTATCTAGCGTTTGATATAATATTACATAAGATAATGTATTATATGAGATAATATCATCCATATTTGATAATATACTATATAATACTACATAGAATAAAAATAAATATTTTTGATAAAAATACCCTTTAATAAAGAATTTATATAATTCTTCCAAATATGTCATATAATATTAATTTTTACAAAAATCTATTGATGAATGTGTCCAAAAAATATATTAATTTTTATAAAAATAAAAATCTCCAATATTTTAAAAATTAATATATTGAAAATTTATTTTTTATTTTAATGTATTAATATATTAAAATAATATATTAATTCTTGAAAATTGCACTGATTAATGATGTTAATACATTAATCTCTTATCAGGCCTAATCACACCCCCTTAGGCTTGATTAAGTTATAAATCATTTGATGTATTAAAAAATTCTGCTGTATAAGTTTTATACTAAACAACTAAAAATGTCATAACATATAGTATAAACTTATTCGGTCTTATACATCACACCAAATAGACCATGGAAATTAACATGGGTCTTTTGTTGGGAAAATTTCACGTGTTTCAGAAATGGAAGAAGTATGAAAAGAAAAAAAAAGTTACCTCAAAGCAGAATTTTGAAGACTATATTTTCTGTTCAAATTTTCCATTACCAGTTTATTGCTTTAACTGAATTTTAGTTCTATATAATATTATTAACTATTGAGAAATAATTTTTTAATGTTGTACGAAATAATATTTATTTCCTTTTTATGTTTTATAAATAGATATGTAATTACATTGTATACTTCCCTTTCCTTGAAACATACACACTCATAACTACATAACTATGTATACTTGTCAATGAAAGAAAAATCCTATTTAAGTATGGACGAAAATAAACTCTATATTTCTCCATCTCTCCCTCTCCCTCTCTCTCTCTATATTAATCAACTCTGCCATCCATATCTTTGTGCTCTTTTAGACCCTTTATCAACATTTCTATCTTTTTTAATATTAGAAACATTTCATTATTCCAAACTGACTTATTAAATACATCTGTCAACTTGGAATACTATTTAATAAAATCCTAAATTTAAATGTAACTTCTAAAATATAAAATGATAATCCGTTTCAAAATTAACACAAACAAATATTGATATAAATATGCCGTAAACTGTAAAAGTATTGCCTAAGCTCGTCAATGCAGAGTTTCATTGCTAGAATATAATTAATTAATGTGAAGCAAATAATGACAGAAGTACAAAGTTTAGGATAATTACTGCAATGAATAATAACTGGATCAGCATGAAAAACACGTCCCACTCCATGGCCAACAAACTCACGTACAACACCATAATGATATTTATCTGCATTATCACTTTTAAAAAAGAGAAAAAACATCAATTATGAATCAGCATATAATCAAGAAACGAAATTCATTAATCAAAGTCTTCGACTACTAATATATTAACCCCCCCTGTTCTGCATTGGAGCATTTGGCCCTTATATAGCCCATTCTCCACCCTTCATTATAGGACAAAATGTCCCTATCACAAAATATCTCCGTGCTCTCACAAAATAATCACCTCTCATCGCAGAAGATACGATTCCCCCCATCCTTCCACTCACTTGCAGAATCATTCATGCCACCTCACATCTTCTACAATACTACACAACCACCTATATAACACATATACCTGCTCCATTGCAAGGACCTTTTGGCTATTTACATGTTGCACGCCCCATACTCTCCTTAAGCACTTGAGCACTCTGCAGGTGACCACATTTCACCCTTCCTCCACAGTATACAGGGCGAAATCCACCATCTTCTACCTTAGACTGATTACAACAGAGCTCTGGTTCTCTCCATTTTAGTAACTGTAGCTCAGTTGACACATTAACTCATCGGACCATCTACCCAGGCTGAACACTTCAGTACAACATCCCCCCCCTACCCGGGCCCGGGCCAGGGCCCCCCAAACAAAAACAAAAACAAAAATTCAACTGTTTTAATACAAAAGGTAGGTATTTCTTAGAAACTGGTTTTTAAGAAAGAAGACAGGAGGATGGGAAGATATATACGAATCATAGGAATTTACATATATTGTGCATTTATTTCCGATCCCATTTTTCTAAATCCTCCCAAACGCAGCTTAAGCATCAAGCATTTTATAACACCTCAAAAGGCCCCTTCATCAAATAGAATAGATATGTATAATGGCTGTTTTGGTGCCTGAAGTGTTCATTGTTGACTAAATGTATAAAGGCCTTACAGGTCGTGAGTATAGAGCAATCAATTTCTGTGCATGAAATAATATCTAAAACAAAAGTTTGTTGCAGTATAGTTGGGTTAGTTGATAAATTAGTTTAGGTAGCTAGTGATTAGTTAGTAGTTAGTTACTCTCTCTACTATATATAAGCCATGCATTAAGTTTATATCACATACCATTCCCCATTTTATCATTTTCAGATTTCTATTCTCACATTCTCTCAATTTTCTCTTTGGCTCTAGCCATGTTTGTCAGCAAAGTCACATAGATTTTTTTGTGTTAGCAGACCCCCCAAAAAAGGTGTATGTTAGAAGAAATAAGAATAGGAGGACGAATCTTGACGCATTTGTACATTTGCTTTTTGTGACTAGAAGGTCATGGATTCGAGTCTAAGAAACAATCTTTTTGCAAAAATGATACGGTAAAGCTGCATATAATTGACCTTAATACATGCTCTCGCAAAGTTGGGGAACCTTTATGCAATGAGGTATACCCTTTTTATTTAGAAGGAACAAGAATGAGAGCAGAGGAATAGAAGTAAGACAGAGTTATGCAGACAACTGTATCAACATTCAACAATTAGTTAGTTAGTTAGAGAGGGACAAATAGAAATGTCTGGGCATAAATAATAGGAAGAAAACAATAGACAGAAGTTTTTGGCTTTGGAGTAGAGGATGGCAAGGAGGGCCGGGACTCTTGAATTTTCTGGAGTTGTGTGAGATACTTCTTTGTTATCCTTCTTTTCCATCTTCCCTCTTGATTCAAATTCCGGGAGAAGAGTGACATTCAATAAAAGTCAATCTCTTTGCTATCTATTCATTACCTTTTCTGGTCCAGTTCCTATTATATATTTATATTGCCAGAAAGTTTCGGCAGCATAGGGAAAAAGGGGGAACAACAGAAGAACAAAGAATAGAAACTTCTTACTGAATTGTTTTTCCAATTTTCTTGAACTCCACACCCGGTGCACATATTGATATTGCTTTATCTAGGCATTCTTTAGTTACCTGTATTAATACCAAACAACCCACCCATATAAGCATAACCAAACGAAGAATATCTCAACAAGCAACCACTTATCAAAATCAAGCCACGTAAGAGACTTATAGAACACTATCAACTGGAAGCAAAGCTGTTGCAATATCTGCTCTGATTTAGAGAGATACGCAGCTATATCTTCTCCAACTTAAGTGATATTGTTGCAAACATTCCCTATTAATTTTTTGCTTATTTTCCTGTATATTGTAGATTCCTTTCCTTATTTACATTAATCAACAACCATTAATTTGGTAGAGATCTTTCACCTTAATTGTAATAATCAATTCTCCTTTAATTAAGGTATAATGTCTGGCTAATTTGCAAAACTTTGGAAATAAAATCCTAAAATAACAGTTAAGTGATATAGCTAGCAGGTGTTTTTCAGCTTCTCATTCATTTACAAAGTAAATATAAGAAATCTGTTTTCTTAGCACAGCTGCTAGAACTTCAAAACAATACTTTATATAACCAACAGAGTCCATATATAAGGTCTTAATAACATCATTTCATCGGCTAAAAATGACAGGATTTAAGGGCATGTCATTGGCAGTCCTTTCTTTTAAGAATGAATGCTGCCAATGCAGGCAACAATAAGGTTTCTGGGCCTTCCAAAATCAAGAATCAAAATTTATTAGCCAACCAGCAAGCTTCAGCCCATGATTTGGGCATAATGTTATGCTTAGTAATTTAGAATGATAAATTTAAGCAGGTTTATAACAAAAAATTATATAACCGAGACAAAGCGTACTATGTAGCAAATTATGATTCTTATATAGTTAACAGTTTAAGTTATGGATTCAAGTATATTTCTATTTTCCAAGTGGCTCAGTTTTATTATCACTATACTATCATAGTTCGAACCTAATGAAAACCTGATAAGGAATGTAATTTATGGATATAAATGAATTAGATCCTAACCCCAAACTACCTTTACCATTGAATAAACATTGTTAGAGATGTTTATATAAAGCTACTCATGTGTCTTCATTTAATAGCTTAAGTTTTTGGGAAAGTCGGTTTATGACACAGTATCAGTTACTGGGACCAAGTGGTCTAGAGTTTTCACCCTTAACTCCCCTATTCTTCTAATAAACAGTTGAATTTCAATGCAAGTAGGTGGGTATGTGCCACACTTTAAGCCCGGAAGACTCTTGCGTGAAGGGACATGTTAAAAGTATTAATATAAAAACATTTATGTGTCTCCATCTAATAGCTTTTGTTTTTGAGAGAGTTGTTTCATTACAAACATAATCGTTATGCACCAAAGGACTTCAAATAAAATCCATAACTCACCTAGAGTAGGGCTCTATATCTGATAATGACTAAACTTCACTCATCAGTCTATAGTCTACACAGACTATTACTAAAACAATAGTGTTTCCTGTTTACTTTGTTGGTTATGGAATTCTTGATTGTATTGTTTAAGTTCTTTCCCTTAGGTAGTTAAAATTTTTACCAAACCTATCAACTTTCCCAATGAAAATGTAATTGTAAAGAACCAATTCAACCCAAAAGCTCAAGCTGTTGGGTGAGGTTAAATTAATGATTTTATATATCTCAACACGCTCCCTCACACGAGAGCCCACTGGGCTTGAAGGGTGAACAATGCACAGGCCCACCTACCTGTGCGAAGAAAGAAATTCCACTAGAAAGAAAGTGGGGGGCAGTGAGGATTAAACCCGGTACACCAAGGCTCTGATACCATGTAAAGAACCAATTGAACCCAAAAGCTTAAGCTGTTGGGTGAGGTTAAATTAATGATTTTATATATCTCAACAGTAATCAAATGATTCTCATGTCCAAAAGATCATCTTCCACTAAATCCTGACAACTTTTAAGGCTAGACATCAGGTAAATGGATATCTGGCTCGACAGCATGTAATTGGATATTTTGCAGATATAAATGTTCCAAACTGGTACCTGAACTAGGCTTCTGGCTTCATCATCAACATCTCCACAAAAGAACATTGCCGATGTGTCACCATGAAAACCCTACAACTCATTCTCATATACTCAGTCACCAAAATGAAGCTTATGATTTCATAAATATTGAAAAAAAAAATATAAAAATTGAAGGGGAAACAGCTGATTTAATACAACATACTCAAGCAATAAGATCAACATCAACATCACCTACATCCCAAACTAGTTGGGGTCAGCGGTCAATGAACACCAATAAAAAAACAAGGACAGATTGAGGGAAAACATGCTTGATGAAATAAAGTTCAAAGGAAAATCAATGCAACCAAGTGAAAAGCACTTTTTTGAAACAGAATTATACATTCCTGACAAATAAAATCTCCACGGCCCTCCCAAAACAATAACAACACATTGCGAACAGAATGTCAATGTTGATCACATCATCAAGATGGCATAAAGCCATAAACAATAAATTTTAGCAATGGGCCCGGCAAAGTTCAGGGTAAATACAATTCCATGTTTATCCCACTCCCATCTCTAACAAAGTAAAAAAGAGAAAATTCTTACATTTAGATACACAGTAACATCAATGTTGATTATATCACCTTCCTGCAAGTTAAAGAAAGAGTCAATACTTTTTTCACAAAGGATTACTAATTTCAAGTAGAACTTGCAGACGAGGACCTCAAGTACACGGGAATCTGGTATTCCATGGCAAATGCAATCATTCACAGATGTGCAAACACTTTTTGGAAAACCACCATAGCCAAGTGGAGAAGGGTACGCACCATTATCAACAATCATTTGGTGAACTGCTTGGTCAATTTCATCTGTTGTTATGCCTGGCTGCCGACAGACGTTATAACCATTAACCAGCATAAAACAATTTTTTTTTTTTTTTTTAGGATAAAGTCATAAAACAAGAAATAAATCTCTGTAGTCATATAAGTTCATTAACATTTTATATTAAATTATAAAAATCCTACTCATTAAATGACAATTATCGCAGCAACTATGCAAGGTCTTGCACTAGCCTAGCCAAAAATAAAAACCTAGAGCGTTTGTTAGCTACTTTGGACTTGTGATCCTCATAATCTGAGCAAAAGGCAAAGCTGGGGACAAGAAGGGCACTTAATCAACCCAGAGGTATTAATAAGTTGCTTATGCAGCCTAAATTTTATGTAGTTAACAAATGAAAATGGGCGATTGACTAGCAAAGAAGATAAAAAGATCTTACCTTGACTAAGTTGCCTGCATATTGAAGAACTTCAGCTGCAAGCTTTCCAGAAGCTCTCATGCATATTATCCCCTGCTCGTCATGCACTTGAGGACCACTCACAATTCCCGGCGGTGCCTTGGATTTCACATATGCAGGCCTTGGTATGTTTTCAGGCACTGGTCGAGGCGGAGAAACTTTTCCAGGCCTCAGACGTTTACGCTTGCTGTTTTGCAATTCATTTAAATTTCTGCAAAGCCGTTATGTAAAACATTTACCAAGAAGGTGCACATATATTGTGCTAGCTGATAGCATTGTAAGAGATACAATATTCCCTCAGCTGCTGAATTATATAGTTACTTTAAGCTTTTAAATCTACAGCAGCAATAATAATAATAATAATAATAATAATAATAATATAGTAGTGCTCCAAGCTTTTGAGATAACCAAGATGATATCAGAACATTGATTCCTTCGGCACTGATTCTATACAGTTAGTGTAACAACCAACTTCATTACATTGCCACTTAAAGTCAGGTAATGACTGTTGCTACTCCATAGCAACATCATAAAATATATTTGAGCAAATACCATGGCCAAGTGAGATTACTGACACATCAAGCATAGCAATGACAAAAAAGCTTAATGCCCGCATCAATAAACTCCTTTGACAATATAAACTAAGCAATAAATACTGATTCTACGTACATATGCAGAATATTGAGTAGCATACCTTCTGTTAAATAAGAGATTTGTCAAGCCAGAGAGAGTTCTCGATAACTGCATTGAAACATGCTTCCTTCCTATTACCGAAAATAAATCAATTAAAAATAACATATAATATTATGTAAACCCTAAATGCTGATAGTCTCAAAACCAGAATGGCCAAAAACATAAATAAAATAAAAAAAATAAAACTCAACAATTATATGATTAATTATTTGTATTATTTTGTATCATAATGAGTAAAAGTGCTCCAAAACGAGCAATCTCATCAACTTATATGGTGCTTTTAGCAGAATTATGTCTCCAAACATCTTGAGCAGAATTAGAAAAGCGTTTTCCTTCACACGAAAAGAGAGGAACCTGCGTTGTAACGGAACAACTGAGGAAGGAGCTGTCGTTGCTGCCTTGAGTGTAGAAGGGGACTTCCCACGAAAGAAGAGAAGAACTCGGGTTGAAGTTGCAGACACGCAGCACCCACCATTGTTGCTTCTACCAGTGTTGGATGTGCCTAGGCTACTGCTTTTCTACGCCCTCCACGTCATTTTATCGTATTCATTCGTATGTATTTTTTTTATGGAATAAGATATTTTGTATACTCTATTTATTCATCTACAATATATTATATCAAAATCTCAACTAACATTTATTTTTTATTTTTTTATCTTAAAATTTTAATCTAAAAAAATTTGAAAATAAGTAGATAAAATAGGTATAAAAAAAACATAATATCTTATTTATGTATTTATTGATATAATTAGTTTAAAAATACTAACCTTAAACAACTTATTTAATCTACAACACAGAAATATATCTATTAGTCTTTGCACAGTCATTCGGTCAATTCACATAAAGATAAGAGTAAAGTCTTTTTTGGTCCCTAATAAAAAATACGGTCTTCACTTTAGTTCTTTACAAAAAAAAATTAATTGTCTGGTTCATATGAAATTCAAAGTTGATACATTTTAGTCTTTTTGAAGAACTAATGTGGATCTTTTTTGAATTTATGAGGGACCACAATTTCAAATAAATAGGTTACTTTAAATTTTTTAAAGATCTCGGGACTATTTTTTTTTAAGGGACTAAAATGGGAATCATATTTTTTATTAGGGAGTTAAAATAGACTTTACTCTAAAAATATATTGTCTTAAACAAGTGAAGCTAGGATTATATGACTTGGACATAAACTTATAACTAATCTCGTACCTTGGCTAACAAGTCCATGTTATTGGTAATTTGTAATGAAAATTACTTGAATTAAAATGAAATACTAAAAGAGATCCGATCCCTAGACACGTGATTCATTGTTTTCGCTCTTAATGCTAATTCTGAATATTGTTTTGCATTTGCTTTTACATTGCTTCGTTGCTTCTTCTTTCCATTCTTAATTTAAATAAGTTGCTTTAGTAATGCGTTGATGTATCTCAATCTTATCACAGGAATATGTCCTAGCTATGTCACATCCAAAAATAGAGAGAGAAAATAGGTTGCAAATATAATGAAGTATCACATTTTACCTCAAATATAATACAGATTGGCTGTGCTGTAGCTTTTCCAATCACAGGAAAGAAATAGTGAAAAGAATTAGGGATGAGATATCGTGATTATCTTCTCTATGTGTATTTTGTCTATTCATTTTCAATATTGTTAGATCAGAATTTTAATTAATATTCATCGTTTCTCTTTTTTTTAACATTTTGCGATATTGGAAAATAATAGACATAATATCATATCCCAAATAATTATAAAGCAAACGACAAAGGGGATAGAATTGCAAAATTCATGAAAAGTGTGTGGTAGACACTAACACAAAATCACAGCACAAGACAAAGGATTCTTCTATTGGAAGAGGAAGATGATGACTTTTGTTGGTGGTGCCATTGCTACCATAAGACGAAACTAAAGTTATGTGAAAGTAACATCCAAATGTTATAATTCAACACAACAACAAAAGGAGTGTCAAACAAAACAAGTATTCACGTTTTAGAAAGAGGACAATGTTTTCGTACAAGAAGGCCACTGCCTCTTCTAAGGAAAAGGAGAGGAAATCCAAGGAGACAGAAGAGATTGACTAACTGGAAAGGAGCATTAAGAAACCAAAAGAATCTGCTAAGGATGATTGTACCATGGATGAGGCAATATCTGAACCTGTCCTGGTAGGAGAATGTCCTCCTACGGTCGTTATGGAGGAGTCTATGATTGCTATGAAGAAGTCTACGGTTATTTTGTAGGAGCCTAGGGACGTTTCCTTGAAAGTTCCTTCAAGACGTAACCTTGTTTCCTATAAGGATAAGGTGTTGGCTTTAAATGGCCAATCGTTAGATTCTGATTCTGAAGAAGAAGACTAGACGGAGAGGCAAAGGAGAGAGGAGGAAGAAGATGGTCAGGAAGATCCTATTGCAGAGGTTGACCCTATTTGCTCTACCTACAACTTTTCAAGAAGCCAACACAAGAAGGATTGCGACCAATGGAGGAGAGCTGTTATCATTAAGCTCATAGGGAAAAGAATGGCTCCTAGCTACCTCGTGGTTCGGTTATAGAAAATATGGAGTCTTGTGGGCTCTTATGAACAGATTATTCTGGATGATGGCCACATTTTACTCAAGTTCTCGGACGATAGGGATTATCGGCACGTCCTCCAGGAGGGACCGTGGATCGTTTATGACCATTACTTAGTGGTGCAACATTGGCAATCGTTTTTCAACTCGAACAATGATTATGTTAAGAGGCTATCTGTGTGGGTTCGTATTGGTGGTCTACCTATGGAGTTTTATTCATCTTACCACCTCTGACGCATTGGTAACCTCCCAGAGAGAACGCTCAAGGTGGATAAGAGGCCAGTTAGAAGAAACGACGAAAGGGATGGGAAATCATTGAAAAATCCAGATTCGTCTGACTATGTATCGAAGTTGACTTGAGGAAAAGCTTTGTCCCATCGTTTAAACTTGGCGAAGAAATATATCCAATGGGATATGAAGGTCTCCATATAATTTGTTTTACTTGTGGGAGGTATGGTCACAAACAAGAACATTGCAGCTCCTTGGACGTTCGGAAGCTAGTGGATGCAGCTAACAAAGAATCTGCAACTGGTAAGCCTGGTCTATGGAACACGAATGTACCATCGGTTAATTTGATTCTGAATGAGGAAGAGGAAGCTTTTGGGGATTGGATGATGGTTCAGAAATCTAGTAAAAATCGCCAGTTGAGAGCTGTTCTGGTGGTGAAGGGACGTAGTGAAAGTGGCAACTTAGCACAGCAAAAAAGGAACATCAGTCAAAGCTCTGCAGCAGTAGTGGTTGGGAGAACCGAAACTATCACCCTTCCGCGTAAATTGTTACTGCTATAGAAAATCTAAGCAGTGTTGTGACCTCTATTAGAGGTACTCCAACAACCAAGGGAGCTGATATTCCTATCATAGGATCACCTACCAAAAAGCCTGCCCCCTCTCTTGTCAAAGGAAGCTCCAAAAGTAGGAAAGATACGTTGTCCTAAGGGAAGGGAAATTTTGCTAGGGTGGGCCATAGTTCCATGCATAATACCCAATATAAATGCAAATGCATCACCCATCAGGGGTTAACTTCCACTATGGGCACTAGTGTACAGTCTGGCCCTACCGCAGCTGGTGTGGGGCTCATCTCCTCAACCGAAAAGAAAACATCTATGTCAGTAGAAACTATTCAATGAAAGCTGAGCTAGTTAAAAAAGAGAACGACATCTTAAACCTTATGAAAGTGATGTCTAAATCACAAGACAATTTGTTATTGGACCAAACTTTAGCAGCCATTGGGTCTGCAAATGGTCCTTTTTGTTTATAACCCCCAGTGACCTTTGGTCCTTGGCCCCCTCTTTTTGTGTGTTTCTATGTATTTTTGCAACTGAAATTGTAGAGGGTTTGCCAAGAAAGGTTTCTTGGCCTTCATTCGGGATCTGAAGTGGAGGTTTAACATCAGCCTCTTGGCTCTCTTAGAGAGAAAGATTAGCGAATAAGGCAGACAGGCTTATTCCCAAGCTTGGTTTCTCTAAATCATTCAGACAAGATCCTGTAGGGTTCTCGGGGGGTATATGGTTGTTGTGGGATGAGATCGACTTTTCCCTTCACATCCTTAAATCACATCACCAATTTATCCATACGAGAATCAGCCATAAAAATAGCTCGAAGGTTGATTTCATCACCTTTGTTTACCCCAATCCCAAAAAGGTTAACAGAAGAATCTTTTGGCATGAGCTTTTGAACCTTCATTCTAACAGCTCCTCCTCTTGGTTAGTTTTGGGAGACTTCAACTCTATGCTAGCTCCTTGCGAAAAGTTTAGGGGGGGGAGGGGTTCCTTTTGCTGGGGTGCTGCCAAGGAGTTTAGGGATTGCTTTTCCAATTGTAATCTTCAAGACTTGGGTGCCAATGGTCCTCCTTTTACTTGGAAACTTAATGGAATTCAGAAGCGCCTTGACCGTGCTGTTAGTAATGAGGCTTGGAACATCTAGTGGCCAAACCATTCTATCGTTAATCTTCCCTTCTATATCTCGGATCACAAACCTATCCTCCTTATAGATGATAGCCAAAGATATTATATGCATCGAAACAAAAACTTCAAATTCCTTGTAGCTTGGCTCAATGATGAGAGTTTTGGCAATATTGTTAATAAATGTTGAAGCCATGACTCTGACTAGCTTTTGAGTGCCCATCAATTTTGGTTGGAAGCCTCTCATTGGCACAAAAATTCTTTCAAAGCCATTCAAAGGCAGAAGAATCACCTCCAAGCTAGGCTTAGAGGGATTGACCCTCAGCTCGCTACCCACCCTAACGAGAGCCTGGAGCGCTTGTGGCATTCTCTCTGGAGGGAGCTAGATATGATTCTCATTAGAGAAGAGTTGTCTTGGTTTCAACGTGCTAATTGTAATCGGTTGGCTTTTGGGGATAAGAACACTAGATTTTTTTCACTCTACGACTGTGGCTAAACGTCGTAGAAATATGATTATTACAATTAAAGACGATAATGGCATTTGGCTGGATGATCCTCAGCAAATCATAGAGTGTGCAATTAACTTCTTTGAGCGACTCTTTCGGGAAGGAGACAATAGTGTTGAGAAGTTCCCTATTTCTGGTGGTTTCCCAACTGTTGGTCGTAGTCTTGATGGCATTGGTTCCATTCCATCTCCTTTGGAAATTAAATAAGTTGTTTTCTCCATGGCAAACTTAAAGCACTTGGATCGGATGGGCTCAACCCTTTGTTCTATCAGTCCCAATGGAATACAGTAGGCAGATTTTTCTATAACCTATTTGCTAATATTTTTATTCATCTGAATCTTGTCCAAGATATTAACCTCGCCTCTATTTTCTTGATCCCTAAAGTTGACTCCCTTGAGTCCTTTAAGCAATTTCATCCTATCAGCCTTTGCAATATCTCTTACAAAGCGACTACCAAGATCGTTGCTAACCTGTTGAAGCCTTTTCTTCCTAAGCTAATCGGCCCCAGCCAATGTAGTTTCATCAAGGGTAGGTTGG